ACATGGCTTCCAATAATTCTGCCTCCGTCTAGGTCCCCGCTGCCTTGTCCCCAACCCTACCTACTACGCTAATACGCTTTGGTCTGCTTCGCAGAACATGCGCAAGCTGCATCAGCATGATGAAAGCCTCTACGTTTGATAGCCTTGAACGGCATTACGACTTGCGGGATGAAATAAGATGAAACCATACCGCAAACCCCAAAGCTTCTACAGCACCCTGCAAACAAACCCCGAGCAGATACTATGCCTCCGACTGCACTCGAGACCGCCACAGAAGCCTTCTGTGGCTACTTCTCTGAGATCACATCAATCACGGGATCTTCTTCGAAGCCTTCCTCCTCGCTTTCCTCCCAATCCTGCCACGACGCTTTATCAGACGCCGCTGTGCAACCTTATACACATGCCGACTGATGCCGCTAATACATGGAAAGCTCGCAGCACTACCATCTGAACGCGTCTGACATGCCTGTGGACAAGTCTTCCAACACTCTCCGGAGTCTATGGAGGCCTATGAATACCACAACATCCGCCAGCTCTGCAAGTGGTGCAGGCTTGTTGCAGTTGGTGATCAGAAGCTGATTTAGATATACTGGCTAGACAAGCTGACGTTTATTGGCGGTGGATGGGCGCACCGCATAGACATCTGTAACGTAGCGACGGCGTAGCCAGCAGCAAACCACGCAGCAACAACAGCCTGGAATCATCCGGAAGGTCACAGGGTCTACTGGTCTATTCTCGAGTACACAATAATGAGGCACACTGGATAAACACTCTGCAGGTGTACGGTTTACACGCGAGTCCCGTGGGAAAAGTATGCCACCAACCAATCAACCAATCAAGCTGGAAGGCAGCTGAAGAAACAGCCGACTACTTGCCGAGGGGGCCACAGCTGCTTCCAGCAATGATGCCAAAGAAAGCCTTATTGCTGCAGGATCTTGTGCTTTCTCGTTCGGGGCTTCGCGAGACGGCCCTGTTGGCATGATGTCTATTCTAGTCCAGCGCATGCACACACCAGCACCTGGCGACTCCATCTTCATTATCGCGTTCCCAATGTTGGATCTAATACAGCGTTGCCCGGCATGCTACTTGTAAAGTGCGATGCGCTATAGACTACGTGATGCGCTGAAAGCTTGCATCGTAACTGGTCTGTTGAAGCGACACATGTGACATGCTGCCTGCGACATGTGATCTTGATGTATAGCCTCTCTGCTCCATATCGAAGACATGTGTATCGGCATGCACTAACGAGTCACTAATGTTGTACGTGTGTACATGTTTCGTGGTTTCGCAGTGGTCATCACATGCTGTGCGCTCTGGCATATGCCGAATGGATGCCATTGTTCACGAGCGTAGGCACCAAACATAAATATACAAAGTCAACTTACAGGCCACCTAACTTGACATGCTTTGCAACATGTACAAAAGCGTTGCCTTGCGTTGTACGAAGGATAGCATTCTTGTATGGTATACCGTTATATGCTGTCGACGCACGTGCCACCTAGTATTCTTGTCAAACATCATGCACCATCCTATGACACTTTCTTCTGCATCATGCGCTACATGATGCTACATGACATACTCTGCTGCATCGTGAACTGTTGTTGTCACTGTTCCTGCTCTTCCGAGCTCCTTCGTTACCGCTCTTGTTGCCAATGATAGGGCAAAACATGGTAAAACCATAACTGAAGAAAAGCAATCATGAATGACCTGAATAACTCATTAACCGTAAACTAAGGGTAGCCACGTCGCTGCCTAACCCACATATTCGACGAGCGATGCAACATGGGGACGATCATCCCCATGAGCCTTCCCCAAACATCCATCCAAACATCCCCCCAACCATGGCACAAGCCCATGAACAACCCAAAACATCACCCACACGCAAGCGCACACACACACACACACCCCACACACACACACACACACACACAGAGACAGAGACAGGGACAGAGACAGGGGCAGAGACAGACACACAGACACAGACACAAACAGAGAGAGAGAGAGAGAGAGACAAACTCCAAGCTTATCCAATCATAACCCGAAGCGATTCACATGGGGCCCTGTCTAGCCGATCGTTCCAATTTCATCGGATGTTCCCCCAAGGAACCGACACGGGCCCTCTCTCAGTGCCCGTGTCCTAGACGTGGACCCTCTCACAGTGCCCATGTCTAGCTCATCGCTCCAGTGCTGCAAGGTGATCCCCGATGGGCCCTCTCACACTGCCCATAATGAGACGACTACAATACTGAGCGACTACACTGAGTACCGGATGTGAGGGATGTTTGTGGGAATGCTCAAGGGGATGTTCGCCATGTCCCTGGGGGCATGAGTAAGGCTGTGGGTGTCCAGCCTTGCCCTAAACACCAACCCCAAAATTACATAAGGCTGAGCAGTGGCAATCCTCTCTCAGGCAAGGTCCGGTGAGCCAATAAAGTCGTCATTGTCCTCCTCTCCTCCCATTCGGTGCCATACGGCTACTATTTTGCACGACATGCAAGACCATATATGGTGTGGCGTGACATTATACATCACATCAGCCATCATGGTCGTCGAAATGAAGTCTACCAACAGCTTCTCGCAGTTTTCCGGACGGCCGGGTAGCCGTGACAATCAAGCCGGAAGCTTTGGTCGCGGCTGCTTCTACGGCTGCGGCTTGTCCTGCCTCAAAAAGCCGAACCTAAGATGAAAAATGCAAGAGTCCTGTGTCATTGCCGGTGTCGTTGTCCGTGTCATTGCTGCCTTCGCTCAACCATGGATGCATGCGCCACAAACTACCCGGTGGGTGTCCTAGAGCCCCAGCAGCTCTCTTCTCAAACATCCGGAGGTGCAGTCCAAGAAGTGGCGACAGAGTCACTGGACTTGGGTAGCTTTGTCTTAACTTCTCTGCCGTTGCACATCATGGCTGGGGCTCCTGCTGTTGTCCCTCACCTTGCCACGGGAGCATTCGGACGGGCCATGGTTCAGACAAGCCTTTGCCTGGCCTACACCGCCAGGATGTTCGTTTGTACGGGCTCCGTTCAACTGTACTTAGGATGAGCCACTGGTCCAGCACCTGATCCACCTTGTTCCAAAACTACTGAGAGTATGCCCCCAAATAACAGCTGCAATGGTTGCGGATTGCAGACATGCGCGTGAGCAATCACCAAGGCTGCAGCCACTGAAACCTGCGTTCCATCCGGCCTTGCGACGATGATGCAGGGTCATGCCACTGTGCATCGGGTGTCGGGTATCAGGGGGTTCTCTGTAAAGCCAATCAATCCGAAGGGCTCCTAAAGCCAGGTACAGCTAACTCCAAGAGACCGGTGATCTACTCCCTCAGGCCCGGACTCATCAATGATGTACAGGATGTCGCGGATCATGCGGGTTTTCCCAAGGTCTGGCACACCGGAGGACAAGGTATGACAATGTCAACTGCTGCCCTTGATATACTATGGCATGCAGGAAGTTATGGCAATAGTTCGGCTGGGGTAGACGCTCATGGAGGCACAAAAGCTCCATTGCACTCAACTCAGAGTTTCGCAGATGCTCCTAAACATGCGTCTGCGTGCCGGTGCCATCCGGTGCCTGCCTGCCACTTCGACACCCGAAGAAGACAGCAAGGCCAGCGAAAAGACTCTGTCAAAAACGCTGCCTCGGTGAAAGTGGCTTACAGCTCAAAGCCAGCCCCCACAAAACTGCGCAGTGGGTGGGAAGATGGTTGCCGGTACCGCTGGTTCTGCGCATTTAAGCTGTTCGGCTCCGCTAGCCTCTGCTTGTCATGGTACGGACCTAACTTGGATGTTTTGGAAAAGCCCGGCTCAGCACCAAGCTGGCATCCTGCTCTGTGACCGTGGACTGAAGCTGCAGCGCTTCTGCATCGTTCTCCACCTGGTCAGCCGTGATGTGCTCGTGCGTTGCAGGCACAGGGCTCGGAATGGTAAAAATGCGCGATCGGGTGTGGGGGGGGGGGGGGGGGGAACCGTCCATGCTGTCTGGCTGACCCATTGCTGCGACCATCCAAGCTTCAGCAGATTGCAAAGCACTGATGATCTGGACAAAATGTGCAGGAGTAACTGCGTTACTGAGCTCCCGCTACACGGCTCACTGCTCTGCAGCTACTGTATCCACTTCTGCTACTTGGACATGGCCAAACCTTGCCCTGAAGTTTACTCCTGAGGCTTGTTTCGTGCTCAGACTTCCTGCCTTTACCGCAAAGCTGACGGCTGTTGCCTGGGTGCCAGATTCCAAAATGAGCGCTTTCTGACTGTCTGTCCCCTGGAACCTGGAGCCTAAACAACATTCGGCCGCAAAATTCAGCCTGTGAGCACAGTCCCATTCCAGCAACCGTGGTCAGGTGTGTCTCCTTGCTTCCGAGAAGCGACCGCCGCCAGTCGTCTTCGCAGGCGCAGAGATGACTCGCAAGCTGAAACCTCCACGTTCAAAACCTGCAGATTGCAGAGATGTAGTCTGGAGAACCCGAACCTCGTCAGCAAAGCTGCCATGCCCAAGAGGCCATCTTGGGTCGCGACGGATGCTGCCGTAAGTGGAACCTGCAAGCAGTCTTGATGCCGTGAGGCCGGATTGGCTGCAATGGTCAAGTGAACGGCAGCGATTCGACTCAGAAAGCCTGCCCGGCCGAAGACAGTCCCATCACCTCACAGCTGTGAAACAGGCAGCGAACACTCAACTTCAGGCCTACTCGGCTGGCATACCCGCAGCAGCAACAGCTTGATCTGCTTCGGAAGACATCATCTTCACGCTTTGGCATTGTGTGCCGTAGTTGAAAGTTGCCAGTGGCTTCAGGGCGGCCGTAGGGTTGTTTCTGCAAAGTTCACTATTCGAGGCCTTTGCTTGGCTACAACCTGATCGCGAGTTTTCGCTCCTGAATGTCTTGGGGGCGGAACCAGTGCCAGGCGGATGTCGCCGAGGAAACGATCCTTGAAGGTGGTGCACAGCTGATCCTGCACAGAGAAATCACTGAAACAATAACAGGAAAGCCCGGAAGACTGGAGGAGACATCTTCAGGGCAGATCTTGGTCAGTAGGCACAGCATCGCCCTCCACTCGGCCTTTGTCAGATCGCTTGGCAGGTTCATCCTTAGCTTCGCTGAAAGCTCCGACAAGGTGCATTGCTAAGAGCTTGTAAGTGCTTGGCATCATGGTAATGTTGCCCAGGAGGACGACCTCGCGAGCTCAGCTTCAGGTCTGAGAGTCGGGGATTTCGCGCGACTCGTCGACTTCTGGAGGCGCCAAGAGGTTTTCCCCCGACTTCCTTGGAGGCCGGCCGTGTCATAGACCGCCAGGCCGTCAGGAGCGCAGATGCGGCCGGCTCGGGCCTCGCAGATGGATAAGCTGTTTGGTTGCTGCTTGGGGGGTCGCACTACGATATGTCATTACTATTTCTTATATGCATCTACAGACCTGGCGTCTGTTGCTGTGTACCGTTCACGAGGAGGCTCACTACCCTTTGAGAAGAACCTTGGGCAAAGCTGGCCACATGCGACTGTCACATTCTCGCGCGGGATCGCCTTCTGCCTGGTTTACCTATCTCCTGCCCTACCGCCCTACATTGAAAACAGCAGGAATCCTGAACCCCCGGGTTCGCCCATCCAGGCGAGCCCGAAACCCTCGAGCCCCAAGCAGAAATTTATAGAACCACAGGTATGCTAACTTTCTTCGGATACCGGATGCGCATATTTCCCATAAATGCCGGATACCTATACCAAAAGCGTCAAGCCAGAATTATGCGTATAAGAATACTTTAATCGGATACGTAAGATATGATAAGTCTTAGGGGTCCATCGTTTTCCCTGTTCCATCTCCACATGCGTTTTGAATCCTCGTCCCGGACGAGTCTCCAACTGAGCTCTGTTAAGACTGCCACATTCATAATGTTCCGATGAGGCTCTAAGACAGACGGCAACCGCGTGCCAGTAACCGCGTGCCAGTGATTCGGTATTCCGAGTGCACTGCGCCAGTATATTCCAGCTTCCACTCCACATCTGGCTCGTTCTCCTTGTTCACGATAGGACCACACCTTCCAAGTTAGGAAATTTATGATCCCATCAGCCCCTCGCAAAGTAGACAAGCGCAGCAGATCTGTCTCGTTCGTGTCTTGCCTCAACTCCAGGCTGCCGGAGAGGCCGAAGGCAGACCCGCCCGGAGAGTAGCTTTCCCTGAGACTCCCACATGAGCTGAAAAGAAATCGGTACGGAGGCTTGAATTGCTTCCTTCATGACTGAGGCCCCGGACAAGCATGTTAAGGTTGCCATGGCATCGATCTCCTCGGCCGGAGAACGAATTAATTCCTTCTTGACTCTAGGTTCTGCCATTTGGGAGATATCTTGAGCAAGCCGGGGACTCTGCCCGGCTGTCGCTGGCATACTCCACAACGGCATAGGCCATTCCGGAGTTTTCGTCTGCATCGACGGTGAAGGGATAATCACCGCAAAGGCTCGGCCTCAGCGAGCCACTGAGCCGTCAACTGAGTCTCAAATTCGTTCGCACTCTCTGCGTACAATGCTCGAGGAGGCAGGTTCAGGCGATAGTGTCTCTGACGATACCTATGATACTTGTATGAGTTGCAATCAGTTTATGATAGCGGCGGCAACAGTTATGCGAAATGAGTGCATGCAACACCACAGGCCCTGCTGAGATCTCAACGCACACTCCACGAGCGGAGTAAAGATTGGCTGTGCCTGCCCAGAGAGACAACACGAGACTTTTGCCTCATGGCATGGGTGTGACACACACACACACACACACACGATCAGATTCCCACAAGAGCAGCCCGAACAAGCATGCGTGCCTCAGGCTGTACGAGGTCGGTGGTGCACGTGGCCATGAAGTTGGAGGGCACATAGCCAGGCGGACATAGAAGGTCGCACACCTTACAGGGAAGTCGAGGCCATCAGTGCGAGCCGGAAAGGACTTGGACTCTTGGGGTCAGGCAGCGCCGAAGACTGGCCGGTCCTCGTCGTTTTGGCAGACCAGACCTGCGTGCTCGGCATTGATGTTTCGACCAGATGGAGAGACGCTGCGCACGTCGCAAGGAACGGATCTAGGGCGGTGGCGTCCCTGGTTCAAGCCCGACCTTGCGACGACATGGAGTCGCGCACACGCATATTATCGATTATGTGCGTGCGCTCTGCAGTACCAGGTCCTCTGAAGCTGAGAATCTCACGGTTCGCTGCACTCCAGCCTCTGGCACTGGGGAGCCTCAGCCATGAATCGGCTGCTGGACGAAGGTTGCCAGCAACAGCCGAGTCGTATGGTCCGACATCGTTCGTGGAGCAGCTCTAGAATTTTCGCAATCTCCGTTTCCACAGCAAAATCGAAGCAGTAGGTGCCAACACTCCTTGTAAAAACTGTTCAAATTGCATCCGATTCACGTTGTCCCTGCATGTAGCAAAGATGTGGCAAGACATGTCACCTCCAATAAACAGAAGCCGGAGCGCCACGAACTGCCCTTGCTGGCAGCGGTAGACATTGTCAACCTGTCAGGACATCGAAAGGAAGCGGCAGTACAAGTCGTGTTTCATCAAGCTGCTGCCATTTACAATCCTGCAAGCCTGCTAGGCGCTCTCCGCCGGGGAAGAAGCTAAGTTTCGGGTACTACGGTACCAGTTTACCAGCTTACCTGACGTCAGCCACCATGGGAAGGCACCGCGAAGGCACGAAATGTCCACGACATCCAGCGGAGCTTAGAGCTTCGACTGCACGAAAACAGACAGCAGCACAAGTTCTGCTGGAGAGCAGTGCCAGCACTAGTCCTTGTGCTAAACGGCTCGTAAGAATCATGGCTCCAGGATGTGAGGATATGAGCGGTCATTGCTACAGCGACTGCACAAGCTGTGCTCTCTCCCCCTGAACCTAGAATCATTGGACTTCTCTCTGGCTCTACCGAGCCCGCAGCCTTGAATCCAGGAGCACAGAGCACAGCGCAGATGCCGCCGTGTGGCAATGGACTGATTCAGCGCATCACATCGCAGCACTCGAAGTTGAAACCCTCATGTTTCTGCTACTCACCGTGGAACAGGGCGAAGCTGTGCATCTGCTGCAGGCCGGATTGAGAATCCCTCTGTGGGAAGACGAACTTTGTGCTACTGCTAAAGACAAGCGCACTGGGTTCACAGAACTTTCTCAAACGGTAAGGGAACACTGTGATGCTGAGATGCGCGCTTGCTTGCTGAAATGTTGGGACCTTTGGACTCGCTTCCGACTCGATCCGCAATCAAATCAAGAGGGCATGCTGCTGTCATGATGTGGGTCAACATAAGCTTGGGGCAGTATTGACCATCTGCCGACCTGACGATGGAGCATCAGCGGGAGGCAACATGTCGAGAGTGGGAGTGTGACACTGCACCGTGGCCAACTCGCGAAGCACAAGAAAGGCGCCGACGAATTCCAATCCCAGGCAGCGAAGTTCTCCAGGCTCTGAACGTCAGGAGGCGCCTGCGCTGAAAACGGAGAGCATCGAACTTTCAGGACTGGAAAGAGCGCAAGAGTTATGACCTCGCTGGTCTTCATGTTTCTCGCTGGGTCTCGCATTCGCACCTGCAAGGTGTTTAGCCTTGTCCTGCAGAAGTCTTGGCGCATGTGGCTGATTCCTACATATTCCCGCCAATGACCTCTATGACGGGCTTCTGACTTGCTGGTACAGATGCTGTTCGTTTTGCCTGGGGCCGGCGCTTCCAGATCCTGATGAGATTTGCCACTTCACACTCTGCTGGGGTTCCGGATTTGTCAACCCTTTTGGCTGATTCACTGCTCCAACGCCTTATTTACAGCTCTGGACACTGTTTAATGCGCCTTTCGGAACGGTTTACGGGTTCTGTAGTTCATCATGCTGAAAATTCCTGCAAATGCCATCACTTGGTGCATCTTGGTGCTGAATCAGAGACATGCATGGCATCGGCCGCCCGTTTCTGCAGGCCTTGCATGTGGAGTTCTCGCAAGAAGGATATGGAGTCTCCTTTGGGCATCATTGCAACATGAAGGTCCAATGAAAGGGTTGACCGCCGAAAAGCCTGCACAGTACAACCTTGCATTGTGCACAGGCAGATCAGGCACTGGCGAACACTGCGAAGTATCTGTCGAACAACTTACAACCTCAGATGGCCGAACTGCCCTCCTGCTGCCCACGCTGACATTCTGAAGCAGCCATGGAGTCTCAGGCTGCAACTGAAGTTGCCTGTGCAGAGACAACATCACGGACGTCACGTCTCTTTGTGATTGCTAGCTCCACTTCTCAAGCGTGCTCGTGCCTGTCGGTGTCATCCCGCTTGTGCACAGAAGGGGCCGAGTGTCATCCGAGGGCACCAAGGTGTAGTCCTGCACATAAAACCTTGGCCGCTGGCTTGGTGGGAGGCTGGTTCCCTGCTGGGGTACCGAGGCAGCGACTTGTTCAGCATGTCACTCGGGAGCTGAGGCCCATTTGGAGGGCCAGGAGGCGACGTACATGTCGGACAATTGCCTTGCGAGAGAATCACGGGATCCGCACAAATCCGAGATCAGCCAGAAGGAGCGGCTGGAGGCTGTGAAAATGCCACTCTTGATGCTTGAGGATTGTTGCGCCGCTGGGTTAGCATAGCAACTGTGCCAGTATGTAGGGCTGGGACATTGCTCCGTCTTTCGCGCGATCTCCTCCCCCAGCTGGCTCCTGATTCTTTGAGCTGATGCCAGGCGGCTGTTCGGGTGCGGAAGCACGCGTGATCGTCACTAGGGCAACAGGCTTCCTAGAGGCCATCACAAGAGTCAGACACAATCAGAGCAGTGGGGTTGACTGTCCTCGTTTCCCCGCTGGCAGCTATACAATCGCCGCCACTGGCGCCTCAGTAACGACATGACATTCTCAACAACATCGCGCTCAATTCGAGAAGCTGGTGAGTCTTTCCAGAGATCTTCCCGCTTAGGACTCTGCTCTTCCGCCTCCAGACGAAGCGACGTGTAGTCTGATCTCCCAAGAAATACCTCGAAAAAGCGATATGCTGCGGTGCACAAGCACGGCGAGTGGCACGGCCACAAATGTAAGGCTGAACACAGGTTGGAACAGGCGAACAAGCAAACAGTTCTCGACTGTGTTATGTCGTGCTGATGATGTCCAGCTTCGTACGGGCGAGGGATCTTGGTTTGTTTGTCGTGAGGCCTGGGGGTTTAAATCTCCTTTCGTTTGCATGTCCATGGCACATCATCCATACGATTATGGCCACTGCGTCATCTTGAGACCCGGAAACCCTGAAGCCTTGCATGTGCAAGCACTGGCCTTCCCATCTCGTCAGGCTCACATCGCTCCAGAGAGCAGCTCGTCTCGCCTTCATAGGCGGAGGCGCAGTTCACCTTGCACAATCTCTTGAATGCTTCTGCACAGGATTGCTTCGAGTTGCTATACTGACTTGTTTTGAACTGTAGTGGGCCAACGGCCCTTTGCCCTGCCAAACGATTCTGACTTTGAGCACATAAAAAAGGTGCAAGCAAAAACGCGGCAGCGCAGAACTCCTGAAGCAAAAAGACGAATCAAAGATGCACAAGCACGGCCCCGAAGACCTCGAAACACGTAAGCCTCGCCACGATTATGCACCTGGACCTGTTGGCTATGCTGTTGGCCCGACACTACCCGATTCTGCATCAGACAGACAAGGCTTCTGGCAAAACCCTTCTCGCTGCAGCGCCCCGCCTCTTTGTGTGTGGACAAAGCCCACACGTCGTTCATGTCACGGCCCTGCACTTCATCGACAAGCAAGTCTTTCTTCACTCTCCAGGACAAGGACCATAAGAATGTCTCTGGCCCGCGCATACAAAACGAAATAGCAACAATGCCAGGCTACACATGCCACACCCGTAAGTCCAAACAGTCCCCTGCCCGCCTGAATAGAGGAGCTCCGACCACTGCGCCCTCAACGGTGAGTGAAGTGTGGGGACAGTCGGCTGTTTTCTCGGGTCTCGGGTGTAGAACATGCTGTTGAAGTGGAACCCAGAAGGCTTGATTGAGGGATCCATTCTGCCTCAACCCAGACGTGACTAGTCTGGCAATGTCTTGCCATTCTACAGTTTGCGATCTCGAAGTGGTCCATGTAGCCGTCCGAGGTGGCTCTATATAAGTAAATTTCATCCGGAGCACCACCAATCACCACCACACGGTTGGCAGAGTCCACGGTGGCTGCAGGTGCCATGCGCCCACCAGGTGCCTGAGGTGTGCAGCACAAGCGACTCGGATTCGCCGGCTTGTACTTGCAACATCCAAGCACATCTGGGCGCCGCGCCACTGATGCCGGATCAACCCAGTTCCTGGCGGGTGTGAAATCCGGGTGAACTGCTGCCTCAAGCGGCACTCCGACTTAAAAAAGTCATCTACAAACTGTTCTAAGCATGGCAGGGGCACTGATCACCAAGTTGGAAGAACCTGGTGCAGGTTGCAGCATCAAGCAGTTGTGCTCAGAATGCACAGAGCCTGCAGTGGCATGCATGCTAACGAGACGAGAACTGGCACAGGCAAGTGCCAAGCTCAGTGAGCGAATGACGTGGAAACGGTCTCGATCTCTCTGCAGCATGACAAGACATGACGGGCATTACTTCTCGGCCTGAGCTCTGGCATCGTGGAAATGACATACCTCGGAGCATCCACGTTATGCAGTTGGCTTGCAAATCGACACTGAAAGAACCATGTCTGTAACGCCCCGAGCAATTGATGGGGACGACACTCCTCGTCGATCGGCTCGAGCATGTATCCATCGAAGTCCAGGAAAGCGTCTTCTGCAACAGTCACGTTGTAGACCTCCGGCGTGTCAGAATCCTAAAATCATCTAGAATGCACACTCCGCAACCGAGCTGGTTCACAATGTGGAGCTTTGTGCGACGGGTATGCGCAAGACAGGTTTCCTTGGCACTGCATATCCCACGGCCTCGCCAGGCAGCAGTCCGTGAGGTGACAGCAGCGCGTAGCTGCCTGCAACAAGGTCATGTCGGCAAGGCTACTGGTGCAGCTTTGTCACTTGGTCGACTTAGTCCCCGAAGAACGTAGGCAGGTATCTTGCCACTGTGCCTGCCGTGATCGCCGCCATACCGGGCACGTCGATTGTTGGCGACATGAAGGACCTGCCAGAAGGGTTGCTGCACTGCAACCCACGCGGATGCATCCACCAGAGCCTGGGCACGAAGGTCACGTTCCCGGGTCCACCGGTTACCTTGGAAAGTACCAGGAAGCGCCGCGATAAAGGCCGTAAGCGCAAACTCCACACTCTAAACCACTGAGACCGCGGCAGGCTCGCTGAATGCGAGGAGGACGCTCCCCTCTGCTGGAAACTCGTGCAGCGGCGCATCCAGGTCCTGCCAGTTCCCGGGAATTGATGGCAAGATATCGTAGCTCCTTGTGCGGGCATGCCGTTCTCTACGACTTCTTTTCTGCGACAAGCTTACACAGCAAGCAGTGTCATGGCAGTCCTCCTCGTTTGCGGGCCGGCAATATGTCAAGTTCAGGCTTGGCCTTGGTACAGCACTCATGGCTGTTCAGACTTTGAACTTTGATTCCTGGTCTGTGCATTAATGTTATTCTCACTACTTGTTTCTCGTGCTTATCATACGAATGGGTGCTGCTACCACTACTACTACTATTAGTCTTACGGATTCTAATTGTTTGCGCCGCTTTGCGCCAGACATGCCCGGAAAACTTCGCTGACTGGTCTGTGGGCCTGGGGTCTCCGAAGCAGGGCTCCTCACCGATCCGATGCCTCTGGCTCGACGGAGAAGGTAATCGCCAACTCTGCCTGAGATTGAACTTTGTGCACTGGAAGCCTGAGATCTCTGAACCAATGTGGAATGTGAAACTGTGGCCGGAAAGCCTCGAAAACACACGGAATGAAGCAAGCGGCTACACCTCATGAGTGCAAAACGAGCTGTCAGCAACAGTGTGAACAGCTCTTGGACCACAGTGCAATACAGGCTGCGCAACTTGCGCTCGGCGTAAAACCGTGGATATAGCATGTTGTTCTTCATTCTTCCGTTTGACAGCAATTTACTTTTGCTGCGGCTGGACCAGCTTCTCAAATCGAAGGAATTGTGGAGGTGGGGCCGGTGCCGTCGGATGTGGTAAAAAATCAAAAGACACCCTTTTTTTTGCCGGGAGGGTCGCCGCCTGCAAAGTGCAAATACGAGAGCTACGCTGCTGTGAATACTCCAAGCGCCCATGGATGCTCCACAACAGGTCGGGCGAAATGAACACTCCTAGCCCCTATGATGCTTCACGAATCCGAAACTGCTCCGGCATGTTCCGAACCTCTCCTGCGCGTTTCAACCCGAAACCTGCGCGAAACTGACCACCTGGACCCTGAAACCCCGAACTTCCGTGCATACCCAGCGTCCTCTAAGGAGGGATTGCCGCCACCCTGCGTGCAGGGCTTGTAAGGAGCTTATCTTTTGACTTGGGAAATCGTCTCGGCTGAGAGCACGTACACCCCGCAACTGAACACGGGTATCTCAGACGAGTGTTTCCGTTTGGGTGCAACTATCAAATCATTGGTGCTTGTCAAGATTGGAGTTGCTGTTGCTTGGCTACTGAGTTAGTCTCTACCCGAAGTTACTTGTACAATGCTGAAACGTGGTGGGACACAGCGGCCTCCAAGATGTTGTCTGTCCGCTGCGTTGCGTCCTCACAGAAGCCGCATGCATTCATAAATCCATCACATCCCGGAAGCTGATCTGTGCAGCTCTGGGCTTCTGTTGGCGAGGCAGTCCAGGAACAGGAACCGGGGCACGCGAAGAGTGAAGACCCCTCCGGAGGCCATGACCTAGGTCAAGATCTGAAACAGAACCGAAGCTGGGACATCCGGACTGAACGACAAAGCCCATCCGGCAAGTTTCTGAAGTGCACTCGCAACTGGATCTGCTGTCTGCGGGCAAAAACATATGTCATATGCTTGCATGGTGCTATTGCAAACATAGCATTCATGCTTGCAGAGTCTAAAGGAAAGGGCCCGACCAAAAGAACTGCTTCCATCGTTTCGAGACAAACATCTGCTGCTTGAAACTTCCCGGCATCACAAAGAGGATACACCCCAACGAGAAGAGTGGAGAACATCGCGGAAACCGCTCCTTTCTGCTTTGCCACCCTGCGTGACTGTCGCTGCACCGGTGGAGCAGACAAGCAGACAGCTCAGGCAGAACTGCAATCTGCGAGAATGAGCAGACCGGGTTCCGCACATGGGGTGGGAAGGTCATGGTCAGACGATTGCCCCGGATCTGCACCTGCACACCGTTGCTCAGGAATTATGCAGCGAGTTGCCCGTCCCAGTCAAGCAGAGCCCTCCGGACTATAAACTGTAAATACATTGAGCCCCTTCAGAGCAAGGGTGTTTGGAGCCTCCTGGCTCTCTCCCGGCAGCTCCGCCCGGCCACCTTCCATGCTTTGAGGTTGTGGTGCGACTCACGTGTTGGAGGCTTCCTTCTCCATGCTGCCCCTGGCTTCCAAAAACATTGCCGATGCCTACTTCTCAACCTGGATGACATGGATTTTCAACTTGGGGTCCTAAACGATGACTCTATGAAATCTTATGCTCATCCTACTCAGACTTGCTGAGAACAGAAACTTTACTGCAGCTGCCATCTTCTCGAAAGAATTTGCAACTGCGCGTAAATCGTCAGAATGGTTGGAGACCTACCTAGT